CCTAACCTTCTCTGAAGGTCCAATGTATGCCAGGCATTTTATATAGTTTTCTGAACTTACTTCCTATAGTATGTGACCTGTGTTCAATGATTCATTGACCATTAACTCAGCATCATTCCCTGATCATGATAATGATGATGATGTCAGCAATGAGATGGTAGTGTGGAAATTTTCTGTTTGATCTAAGAGTCTTATGTCTTTGGATTCCATGAACAGCCTAATCTCCAAGAAGGTAGGCATTCTCCAAAAAAGAGAATAAATGATTTATAGAAGATCACATACCAGTAGGGAGAAGAGACCAAATTGGAAACCTGTTTTATCTGATTCTAAGGCCATATACTTGACCACTTTTTGCCTTCCTAAAAGTAAGGATTTGAATTACGTCTTCACCTTATTGCTCAAATAATCCTTTAGGATGTCAGAAATGTGGTAATATTTCTTCAGTCTACAGAACTGATGTACAAAGCTCACAGATCATTGCTTCTTCCATCATCAATGCCTTATAAAGGGATCTTCATACCAATTGACAGCTTGACTGCCCTGCCCTCCAAATCAAGGGCTGGGCTTGCAATGCATGGGGGTGTTCAGACAGGAGGTGATATCCCTTTTATCCTAAGTTGTAGGACTACATGTCTTTGAAAGTTCTCTTTACCTGAAGTCTCCAGAACATCTATTACCTTTCTCCTGGGGCCTGGGCAGACATCAGATGTACTGCACCAGACAGACACAGATCTAAGGCCTCACAGAACCACCAAAATAGGCCAGAACACATCTGAGGCCCTTCTGGGAGTCTGAGCAAGGTAGGTGGGAGAGGGTTGGGTGAGCTTTTCTGTGCTGTGTAACCCCATTGTTTGCTTCAATTGTTTTGGGGGTTACTTCACTGGACTCGGAGAAGGGTCATCCCTGTTTGCTTCAACCCCATGTTATCTGGTGTTATCTGGTCAGATCCATTCAGACATCTGCTTGCTGAAAAACTATACCAACCAATGCTGCCAGTTACAAAGTTTGGGGGGGGGGTTATCTCCTCCTCAATAAAATGCACCCCCAAAAGAAAAATGGAAATGGAAAGAAAGGTAAATTCCTCTGATCTTCAATGGACAGTGGTCCTCCTCCAGTTATATCTACCCAGGACAGCCCTGCCATCAGCCTAGAAGGGCCTGGTGCATGCTGCAGGCTGGAACAGAGAAACCACTCAGACTCATCCTAGAAAACAGTGTGGCTTGGGTGAGTCCTTCCACATCCCGCCTAAATGGCACCCCTCAGAGGGCCAGGGGAATGGATTTATCCTGTCTTCTACAACTGATGCAGAGAGCCCAGAACCTTATTTTATTCCAGCCAGAATTTCAATCCAACTAGAATCTATCAGGCTGTCATAACCCTGAAGAATGATCTAGAGACATGAAGAACTGCCTTCAAATAACATCAGAACGTGAAAAAACAAAAACAAGGGCATAGAACTGGCTCATTGTTTTTGTGATTATAATCACACAAAGAGGGCTTAGAATTTATTTTTGATATATTTTACTCAGATTGTGAGGAGGCAATGCATGGCTAAACATGATGTTCTGCCAAGCAAAATACATCTTAGATTATATTCCCTCCCTTGGCTTTTTATCTTGTCTTTAACAACAATCTTTTAAATTGTATTGTATACATCTGTCAATTTTTTCCTTTAAAAGTTCTTACTTCAAAAAACAAATGTTTGAATAGGCCTTCTACTTTTTAAAGTTCATTATTCATCCAGCGATATTTCATTCTAATTCTTTTATGGTTAATACTTGTAATGCTACATAACAGAAAGACTACTGTATGTACCAGTGGTCCTCATACTTGACTGTGTATCATAATCAACTGAAAGAGCTTGCAAGCTATGCTATTTTCACACCCCACCTCTAGAGTGTGAATCAGTGGATTTTATGAGGGACCAGAAATCAGCATTTTCAAAATTCTCCCCACCTGATTCTTATACAAGTGATTATGAGAAATACTTTGATGAAACATTTGGAATACAATCCATTCTCTGCCCTGTTTCTTTTTGGAATTCTGTGTCATAATTCTAAAGAAATAAAGACTTGTAGCTTAGTCAGTGACATAATTTGAACAAGCCTACTGGTTTTTAGTAATAATCAATAAAAAATCAATTGAATATTAAAACATGATGTGCCACTTTACCCTGAAAGTGAGAACAATGTAACCTAAAAAAGTACCCTCGTATTAATTTAATTAAATCATTTTTTTAAAAAGAAAAAATGATGTGCCAGTTAAATACCTACAAGTTGAGGGATATGAGGCAAATACAGTCTTTGTTCTACAGGAGAAATATCCCTAACATTTACATAGCAGCCATTTTACTTGAAGTAAATTTATGTTTATGTTTACTTGCCTTTGCAAGTTTTTTCCCACATTTCTTTAGCAGGGAAAGGGATGGAATGAAGGGAGCTATTCCTTAGATTTGTTTCCCACATCACTTTGTACAATGTACACATGTCCCCAGAGGAGTCTTCTAAACTAGTAAGGCAGGCCTGCCAGGAAACTTCAGGGAGAGATTATCCCACAAAAAGAGCACCAAACCTCATTTTTCAGAGTTACAGTGCAACTCTGACTACAGTATTATCTTTGACCTAAATTTTTAACCAAGTCCATCTCTCAAATGGACTCGTATCTGTCTCCAATGTAAAGGAAAGGTCCTGTGATTAAAAAAAGAAGGGGCTATTTTGCTAAGGACTATGCAAGATGTTGTGGCCCAACAATCCCCAAGCAGTTCCACTTCTGTTAAATGCCACTATAAAGCAGAGAGGGAGGCTTTAGAACACAGAGTGGGAATTCAACCACTAGAGGCTCCAACTCACTGGGGTTTTGGCACTAAAGGACTCCAGTACATCAGCAGCAGTGGGGCCAGTTGAGAACAAAGGGCTCAGCAGAAATGGCAGCAGGGCTCAGCAGAAATGGCAGGACCCAGGGGAGGAGAAGGGGTAGGGCTCAACAGCAGGGGACTGGCATTGAAGACTTCACCTCTGTCTGGTAGGCTTGTTCTTTAGCACAAACTGAGTCACACCAGGCTGTGCCTCATATAATTGGTGGTTCTACTATACTATAGTGGTTTGGGGGTTCTGTACACACAAGTGCGGACAAGATCTCACTGAGCATAGCTCAGAGTTATTGCTTCATTTCCTCCCCACAGCAGCCCTATGAAGCAAATATTTCCCCATGAAAAGACTGAGTCTTAAACATGTATATCTGTAATAATTGCCAGTTTATTCCTCTAGCTATAAGAACCAGAGGTAATTTGGAGTTTACATTTATTTTCTTTTTTATAGTTTTTTCATTTAAAAGTTTAGGTGCCCCCATTGCCCTTTATAAGCTGGTTGCAAATTATTTCATTGACTCTTACTTATAAAAAAAACTTAATTTTGTGTGTGAGACACAAGTTCATTAAAAAATACATATAAGCATAAAGCAAAAAAAAAAAAAGAAAAAATTCAAAACACACAGAAACAAGCATGGTTAAGTTTCTGATATATATGTATGTATTTATACACACATGCACACACACACACACACACACACAATTTGGAATTTTAACCTACATATGTGAGCTGATACTAAATATACTGCTTTGTAACTTGTTATGTTTTACTTTACAATATGGAATGAGCATATTTCCATGCATATGTGTGAAACATCTCAATTGAAAATTAGACCTAGAAAATGGGTCAAAATCCAAAATCCAATGAGATCCTGGTAACAAGAAAACTACCTAAAACAAAATTCCACCAGATGATTAAAAGTAAAATGAAGGTCAAAGATACATCAGAAAACGCTAACAGAAAGAAAGCCAAAGCCAGATTTTCTTATCAGGCAAAAACGAATTCAAGGCCTAAAGCACACAGGGTAAGGACGGCTGCGAGAGTGTCTTTGCTTCCAATGCATCATCACAAACTTGTTTCTTACTCTTCTTATCTCTTCCCTAAGCCTTTCCAACTCATCTACTCCTCTTATCATTTCTTCAGGGTCCAAATGCCTAACTGGAGTGTCCTCTTTAAATCCCTGGCCAGCCTGAATGGGCCCTCCTCTGGGATTTCCTTCTGCTTCCTGGCTTAAACCTTCTTCAGGAGGTTGAGGATTTCCTTCTGCCTCCTGTGGCACATCTTCCGAAGGACGGTCATCCTCCACCTTTGGCATATTCTGTGTTTTTCCTTCATTTTCTTCACAAGACGTTTGCATGTTGAGTATTTTTTATTATTTCCTTTTGAATAAATTAATCCTAGAAAACAAGGAAACAAAACCACTAGGTGCCAGGCAAACAGACCAGCAGCAGCGAGCAGTTTCCCATAGCCAATGGCCTTTTCTGATTTAGATCTCTAATTGTCGAAAGTTTTCCAGCTAGAGAAGTCTAGATCTTCAAGTTTAGAACTCCTCTAACTCCACCTCTTCCTCCACCTCCTTTCCCTCCCCTTCTCGTTCCAGCTCCATCTTCTCTCCTCCCCGCTACTGCCCACCATTTTCCCAGCAGGCTCTGCTGCAAGCCTCCCTTCTCACTGAAATGGGAGCAGCACGGAAGCAATTAACCCTTTCCACGCCTCTAGTCTCTGACACTCCCGCCCTTTCCGACTTTCACAAGCCACCCCCACCTCCATCCTCACCTGGTCCAGTCTCAGGCCTCCCCAGCCCCTTCCACGTCTCTCCAGGCAGCCCTCACTCCTCGGCCCCCGCCCCATTTCCGCTGCAGGCTGGGCACAGGCCTCTGGCGTTTAAGCCGGAAAGGGACGCTGCGGCGACCCCGGGATGTGCTTTAGTGTCACTCACACTTCCACCCCCACCCAAAGGGACCTGAAACAATTGCACCTTTACACTGACCTGCAGAGATTCTGGAGGTTTTCCTTTATTTTCCCTCACCTCGATTTGTGTCGCGCGCAAAAAAACAAGAGTCCTGCAGACAGACAGGTGGTACACGGTGAGCAAGCTAGTACCTGAATCACGGGTTCTTTTCATATTTCTAGGCCTTGTTGGTCTAAAGTTTCCCACGTCCTAATCTCCCTCCTTTTATGGCCACCCCGCCCTCCTCCGTACCCACCGTTTACCTGCAAGCAGGGAACCGGAGAGGAAGTTTCTGACAGATTGTTTCTATGTCTCTCTCTCAGGACCCTCAATTAGCGACACTTCTCCCTCTCCACCCCCGCCCCCGTCCTTCACCCCGGCCAAAAAGCCCAATTTTTCCTGCATAAAATGGGAATTTGGAGGAAAAGTAGCGTTGGGAAAGCAGCAGCGGACCTGCTTGCTTTCTGTTCTCGGCTTCTTTGACCCCCCAAGTTAGCGCCCACCTTTACACTGACCTGAAAGGATCTGGAGCCCTCTTCTCCTTCTCCAGCGATACGGAGCTGCTTCAGGGAAACAGGCCTTGCACTATAAGGACTTCTGCACACGTCGACTCCCGGTCACGTGAGGGTCGCGTCATCAATGAGCTCGAGTCCTCGGTGACCCCTCCCATTACCACTGCAGCCCGCCCCTGCATTTCCTCCATTTGATACTGTCAATCTTTTTCTCGTACTTGCCAATTAAAGACAATAAAGCCGGTGTCTTCGTTCTGAAGACTACCAGGGAGAATTAGCTTGTTAGGGTTAGTCGACTATTTCTCCTTCTTTGGGAAATCATCTCTTTCTCCTTCCGATATGCCTACCTCCCCTCCCCCAAGAACCTACAGTTTATCATTTCCCCTGGAGTGCGATCCAGCATTAAAATGGGCAAAGGGGAAAGGAGGGCTGGAAAAGAATTGCGAGGTGGGAACGAAGGATTTTCCTAGTGCTCTAGAATATTTTTATGTTATGCTCTATGTTTTATACAATTAGCATACTTTAATAAAATATTTAGAGGAATGCCTCATAAGCAATATTTAACACTTAGTATATAGCACAAATTATTAATAGTTACATAAATTTTTAAGAGTTTGTAAAAGTTTTGTAGTGGTTGCAAATGATATTACAGTATTCATAAAATAGTGATGTGTTAGAAATTCTTTTTATATCTTACTGAAACAGGACCTCCAAAAATTTGACTCCCAAATTAATCTGTGGAAAGAGGCCTTGTCTTCTCTTATTAGCAATTTTGCATAAGTAATCTAATACTCTTTTTAACTGAACTCAAGTTATCAAGTGTTAAATATCAGACCTTTTTCATTGGTGACTGCTGGTGGCTTCCACTCAGGTGTCACATAGAGGCTTTTGATAAACCTCACCTCCTCATGTCCTCTGCAAGATCCAGAACCTTGTTAATCAGATGAGTCCACAGAACGACCTGCTTTCCACTGTGTGAACATCTTTTGGAACTTGAAGAAGCACATTTATTGGGAAATATTTTCTTGTTGGGAAAGAAATACGTTAAATAACTTTCATGCACTCATAAAATACCCAGAAAGGAGAGAGTTCCCTGTATCTCACCATTGGTCATGAGGTTCATTAGCAGGTAGAATTTCCATTCATTTAGGGCACTCTTGAGATAGTCTGGTATCATCTACTGTGTCCCATTAAAAAAAAAAGAACTATCAATGTACATAATTTTTATGACCAGAAAGCAGAGGGAACATCATTGTTATATAAAAATATTATTAAAGAGGAAATGGATGTCCCTGAAATTCAGAATCTATTGCTGCTTGGAGGTGCAATGGTTCCTAGAGTGGTAATCTGGCCAGTGGATCCAGCTGGAGAGTCAGACAGATGCTGAGAGGGTCTTTTGTGTAGGCTGGTTTCAGCAGGATGCCTCAGCCGACAATAAAGCCCACCAGAGAGAATAAATGGCTGGACAAAGTAAGTATTTTTGTATTTAGGCATGAAAAATTCATGCCACAGTTGAGGGATACATTGTGTATTATTTCAAGGAGAGTTTCTAACATATGTAGCTAGCAAATTATAAAGATTTAACATTGCCTACTACCAAATGTTTCCACTTTTTCAGTTGTAACCATTTAGTGGGTAGCAATTCTGATTTTTTTTTAAATTGTTAGCAGCAAGATGGACTGTGTGTGTATGTGTAAAATTCTATGAAGTTTACCAGTGTATAAATTTGTTTAGTCACCACTACACACAGAATACAGTTCAACCCTCCCCCAAAATTCCCGTATCCTATGCCTCTGTAATCACATCTTACCCCCTTTCCTAAACTCTGACAATCACTGATATATTTCCCCATTATTAAAGTTTTGTCTTCTTCAGAATATTACATAAGTAACTTTACAAATTATGTAATATTTTGAGACTGTCTTCCTTCACTCAGCATAATGTCCTGGACATCTATTTAAGTTGTTGTTTGTATCAATAGTTCATTCTTCTCTTTTTGCTGAATAGTATTCTGTTATTTGGAAATCCCACCGTTTATCCATTCAACTGTTGAAGGACATTTGAGTTGTTCCAAGTTTTGAACAATTATGAAAAGTGCCTCTGTAAACATTTATGAGCAGATTTAGGCCCTTACTGTTTTACATCTTCCTCCAGTGCTTCCCTTACCCCTTTAATTCACCTTACATATCACCATCAAATTAATTTTCACTCTTCCCTGCTTTGAACTATCATTCTCCTGATTAGAGGCCTTGGATGGCACCTCACCTCCCACAAAATAAACACTACATTCCTCATTTTGACATCCAGCATCAATTGGAATTGAGCCCCAGGATATATGTTCCCAACCTTTCCTTCTACTTCTCTGCCCTATCCAAAATAAACCCTCACTCACTGTGCTCCAAGTATGCCTTATACTTCTTTCTCTTTGCTCTTCCTTGCCCTCTTCTTCCTCCTAGAATCTGGTTCTTCTCCTTCTTAGAGGCCAGGATCTCATCACCCAGCCTCTGAAGCTACCCCAGCTGGAAATGATCTCTCCCTCCTCATTGCTACTGCACAGAGCTCTATATCCCTTCTATAGCCCTTGACAAAGTTTGCCTTGTACTGTTCCCATTCCTTCTTTGTGCATGCGGGAGCTGGGTGATATCTGACCAGGCAGATGGTCAGATGTGAGTTGAGGGTGGAAAGTGAGAATCAAGCTCTATCTATCATGCTGCTTATGGTGGCTTGGTAATATTAAATAGTCTGTCTCCCAAATATCTCAGAGTTTCAGAAAGCACTATTTGCTGATTAGCTCACATGTAAACCTTTTTGCCCATGTAAAAATTGAAGCAGAAGTTTCATTGTTCTCTCTTCTCCTAATTCTGGTTATACAGGGTGTCCCAAAAGTGACCCCTATAATTAACATACATAGGGAAAATGGGAAGATGTGGCTACATGAATCTTTATTTACAAAATTTTCATTACAAAGTTTTGAGAAATATTTACATAATATTACCTATGTGTTAGCCACCTCTTTGCAAAAATTCTGTAATAACCATTTTGTAAATAAAGGTCCATTTAGCTATAATTTCCCATTTTCCCTATGTATGGTAACTTTGGAGAGACTTTAACCACAGCAACCCTAATACTATTTTATGGAGCTAGTGGCAGAGGATAGTTACCCTGTTTTCTTAAATATTCACAAGAGAAACATCAGTCAGCTCACCAGTGCACAACTGACAAAGAGCCAAGTGATACCAGCAAGCCTTCACCTTCGTCTTTGTCCCTGGGTGATTTAATTTTCTACACAATATAATACTCAGCTATCTGTAAAATTAAATTACATGCTTAAAAATAAGTCAATTTTTGAAAATTATAGTATTCTATTAAAGTAAGAACTGTATGTTTTTATTTTATCTTATTTTTACACACCACCTACTTGCAATGTTCAACTCATGTTACCCTTGGACTCAAAATGTATGTTTTTAAAAGGAAGGAAAAGGTATTCACATTCATTTTAATAATGATGAAGTGAGTTCCGAGCCAATCAATATTCCGTTTTTGTGTACCAAGCAGGAACTAGAGATAGTTCCAAAGTCCAAGATTCTCCAGTTATGTGAGGGGAGGAAAAAGGAAGCAGAATTTTACCATGCACCAAGGTCTTATACAAGATTATAGTGTCCAGAGTAATTTTTTCTATGTTACCTTACTTCCATAACCTTGTGTTCTGAGATTCCATATTCAGCAACTCTTGCTTATTTCTTCATTGCTGTTTCAAAGCTCATCTCAGAGAACTTAAGCTGACCATTTTTCTCCATCCCTTTCCTAGCATGCTCTATATGGCTTGAAAACATCTCTTCCAATACCGCAAAATGTGCCCAGATCCAAAGGTTTAGCTACATAGTGTGGTTTTAAACAGCCTCCATCTGAGATGATTTGCCCCTTCAGAGTGCAAGCAGATTCAGCTTTACATAACTGAGGGTAAACCACCCATGTTTGCTGCAAGTAGCATGCACAGAGCCTGGGTTGATTTCCACTTAGATTGTTTCAGTTCTAGAGGGAATAAAACTCTTCTATCATCCCTCCTGCCACTACATTCTCTGACATAATGGTATGTTTGGCAATTTTAGCACCAATAAATTTCACAAATTCTCCAAATTATTCAGAATAGCCATTGGCCACATTCAGATGAATGAATTTGAAACACAACTTCTATTATATTTATTGTCTCTTCCATATAATTCTGCCCACCATCTGAACTCACAAGTAAATGCTGCCCACATTGTGGATATTTGTGGCTAGGAGTTTATAGTTATCTATGGCAAAGTGTTTATGAATTTCTGTGAACCTGATGTGCTGTGTCATAACCGGCAAAAGTCCCTGAGTTGTCTGCTTAGACTTTTAATATATAAAGTATGTTCAAGATCTACTTCAGCAAGATTCTTGGGATTGCTTTGCTTATAGCTTGAGGTCTGCATTTATGTAGAGCATGTTGCTGGGTTGGTAGGGAGGCATACCTCAGCTGTACTACGGCTTGGGCCAGACAACTCTTCCCTGTGGTAGAAACACAGACGTAGAGTATGCTGTTGCTTCTGGTTGGGTGCTTTTCAAAATTAAAGGTATAATGAAAAGAAAGGGTTTTTGGTGTGTTTTTTGTTTGTTTACTACTAAGGACAATTTTTTCTTTATTGATTTAAAATAAAGGAAACATGCAGTAAAATACAAAGTAAAAAAAGGAGGAAAACATTGAATATTTTACATCTTCCACAATCCAGCATATGCCACAAGGAAGAATCTTCATTTATTGAAACATCATTTTTCTATGTTCCAGATTATTAAATAGTATTACCTGGCTCTAGAATTTTGTTCAAAACTGAAGCAAAACCCAAAACAAAATCATTAGTCATTTAGAGAGACCAAACATTTCACAAATAGCATTGGTACATATTACTTTGTGACATAGTTAGTCCCTAATCCAGGGACAAGGGAATCCTGGGAATTTAGAAACAGAAGTACACCCTAAATTACCACTCTTAGAATGGAGTGAGGTAACTTACTAGGTTACATGCTATCCCACTTGGGTAGTTTCTGCTCATTTATTTTCTCAGCATCACTGCACTAAATGGCCAAGGGAGTTTAC